AGTCTTACCTTCCCTGAACAAGACCACTGAAAACTTGACTATTCCCCGCAAGTGTTGCTTCCCACTCCACCGACGACAAGAGGATCTGTGAAAGCGATATCACAACTTGCTTCATGTCTGGTCTTAGAATCGGGTCCTCATCCACACATTGCCTTGCTAGTGTTGCAACCTACAAAGCAAAGATTAACCGATTTAGTTAAATATATGCAGGTTGAACCAACTTGAAATGCCAAACAGTTTAATAAAAAATCAGCGAATGAATCTATAAACCTTGAAGAGACAATCGTAAGGGTACAAGTCCATCAAATTGGGATCAGCACAGTCCTTCAAGAAAGACATACTCATGGAGTCTGGGGAATTTTTCAGAGCTCCCAGCATCTGCATTTATCAGCAGAAATAATCAGGTCATCTCCCAAAGTATAATCATGTAATGGAAATACCAAGAAGCCAATACTTATATAAGGTCCCTTCCGTAAGCTAAGGTTTACACGTAAGAAATAACAACAATTTAAGAGCAAGAAAATACTCTATATATGTAAATAACTATGGCACACATCATATTCACACAGTTTTTCGATAAATTAATATTCTGTTCCAACTTATATAGAATTCCTACAAGCATTCTTATAATATCCATAAAAAGTAAAGAAAAAAAGAGATAAGATTCCAAAGCTTGTAAGGTTAGGTGTGTCTTGGGGGAAAAATTATCTACACATCTCAAAAACACCAAAACCCCTTACAAAAATAACCAAAGAATCCTTCTAGAAACACCCTTATAAATAGGACTGGAGAGAGTAGTTCAATAGCAGGAAGCGATTAATGTCTCAAATATAGCAAGCCTTACAACAACAACAACAACAACAACAACAACCCAGTTGAATCCCACTATAGCAAGCCTTACAATAGATACCAAAGAGCGGCTTTCGGCCTTTCTAATAGCAAAGCCTTCGGATCGAGTAACAGCCTCTTTCCCTGATATCATCTCAAAAAGGACAACACCAAATGCATAAACATCGCTCTTAGTTGTTGCACGGCCATCTCTTAAGTATCTGCCAAATAGCCAGAAAAAGGGTAATAAGAGCTTACAATGTTCATTTCCAACTCATTGTTTACTGCTACTATGATCACTCACTCTGGGGCAACGTAACCATAAGTTCCAACCACTCTTGTGACTGAAGCTTCTCCTTCATTCGTTATTCCCACAAGTTTTGACAAACCAAAATCTGAAATCTGTGAAGAATTTGTAATTAAAATTGAATGGGAAGATTGCCAAAAGTCCAGAACATAGTGTGTGTGTGTGTGTGTGTGTGAGAGAGAGAGAGAGGAACAGGGCTAGAACCTTTGCCCTAAAGGAGCCATCAAGCAGGATGTTACTTGTCTTTATATCGCGATGAACATAGTGAGGTTTGGTGTGTTCGTGAATGTATTCCAAACCTCTGGCAGCATCAAGTGCAATCTGAACCCTCATGATCCAGGAAAGTGATGTATGACCTATGGGGATGAATCAAAGAAAGAAGGATACTTAATTTGCCAGAAACAATCTTGCACCACTAGGTCAATTCAATCAATTGAACCAACCTTTATTATGAGGATCATGTAAGTGGCTTCTGAGAGAGCCCTTCTGGGCATATTCATAAATAAGGAAGAGCTCGTCACTAGTGGTTGCATAACCAATCAACTCTACCTTGACAAATTCAAACCAAGAAAAGAAGTCAAGATCCTAAAAATGTCAAACGGGCTAAGCTCGAAATACAACAGCAGTGGGTGTGCATAGAAAATTCAGCGTGCCTTACCAGATTTGTATGATGCACTTTGCAGAGAACTTTCATCTCTGCCATAAACTCTCTACTTTTAGTGGCAGTCATTCTTTTTATTGTAACCTCCTGGAATTTTCGTCCCCCATTAAATGTACCAAAAATAAGTGAAGTGCAAACTAAGTATCAACAAAGTCAAAGGATAGAAAAATGACCTGATCACGTAGGAGGCCATAGTACACAGAACCATATGTTCCATCTCCAAGAAAGTTTGCATCTGAGAAGCCATCGGTAGAAGATAGAATCTCTTCGTATGTAAAAATGAGAGGCTTATCCATATCAAAGACATCAGTCCCTGTAACTGTAGGAAGACACACACCACAATGTCACATTTAAAGCTAATAAGAGTTTAGGACCAATCAAATTTCAACAATTCAACGGGGAGAGAGGTGCAGACTAGCGAGTGTCAAAACAAATTAGAAACGCATAAGACAATGAGAAACAAACTAGCACTTTCAACACTCCCAATGCACATTTAAGGTATACTGTTGCATCAAAACCCAAACCTTTTGGAATATTGTTCATTTGACGGTTACTACGTTCCCTGATAGGCTCTTTACAGTCCCCCAATTTCCAGCATTTATACGTTCCTGAAGGACAACAAGAACTTGTGTGTTGGAGAATACGGATCTTGATAGATTTTTTCTGATCAGAATCTGCTCCATGGGTCTCAAGTTCTTCGGAAAAACAATGGGATGATCTCAAGGAAGTCAGAGATAAAATGATTATGACTATAAGGGCAAAGCCAACAGCTAAACCTCCAATTATCCACCAATATGGCACATGACGCTTATGATCTGACTGGTTTCCTGCAGAAAAAATTGAGTTTGTAGCCATTTCGCTTATGTAATCAGAAAGGAAGACTTTTATGATGCATCAACAGCCAACAGTGTGTGAGTATCCATAAGAAAAAACATAAACCTAGTAATACTTTAACACAAAAATCCAGCTCATTTCTTTTGCTACTTGCATTATTGAATATTGGTTTAATGGTTTCTATATAAAGATTAACCGGTAAACTGCCATTTATTTCATGGATCAGAATTTTTTAAAATAAAAATAACAACAAAGTAAATCCCACAAGATTTTGGAAACATCAATATCACAACTAACTCAACATAAACTTGGGTCCAAGTAAACTCCGGGCCTCATATTGAGGTAACAGTAGTAATTTCTAGTACAATATCAAAAGATGAAATAGTCTATAAGGAATTTGTCCCTTAATTCTTTTATAATGATAACTGACATGGAGTTTTTTTTTTTACAAAGTTTGTCAATGGAGTTATGGAGTAACATATTGTTGCAAATGAAGGGAACAAACATACCCAAATTACTATGATCAGATGGTGCTGGAACTGGAGCCAGAAGAGTATCATTTTTCACAGGATATGGCTCACCGGGGACTGAAAAATCATCATCAACAATAGAAAATATTCAATGAGACAAAAGGTTAATGATTATCTCTCCTCTTAATATGTCTTACCTAATGTACATAATAAGATCAGTAACATGTTGCTTCCTTGAAAATGTACAGCACATTATGTCCGGGCTCTCAAATTCAACAAGTAACCCTAACAACAGATACCAAGATCTAGCTTTACTCAGTTTTTTCGCTGAATGAATGCTAAATTATGATTAATTTTATCGCACTAGAATTATTAGTATCACAGCCGAACAATGTAATAATTCAAGAAGCAGGTGCTGAACAAAGGCTTAATAGCACTGTCACTGCACAATCAACACCCACATATACTCAAATCCCTAAAAGTCTCACTAGCAGACTTACCACAAGTCCACAAGCAAACAGAATTTAGCATACTTAAAAAAATTATAAACAACAACAATAACAACAGAGCCTTTATCCCAAGTTACGTAGGGTCGGTTACATGAACCAAGAAGAGAATTATGATCAGTCATTAACTATCTTGAGAAGAACTTACTAAAGATAAATTACTCCATAAAATCAGCAACATTGTTAACTGTACCTGAATTCAATGGTATGTAGTATAATGCACCAACTGTGACATTATCAGGATTTACAATCCCATTGACAGCCTCAATGTTATCCATGCTAACACCAAACCTACTAGATAGAGAATCCACAGTATCCCCATCTTCCATCACATAGCTCATCAAGTAATTCCACAGCCCACTTGAGCACCCACACATAAGCTTCACAGAAACCACTGCCCCTTTTTTGGCCTCCCTGGTAACATTAGCCGGAAAATAGGCCAGCCCATCATACGCATCAATCACCAAATTATACAAAGATCTATTGATCTTCCTAACCGTGAAAGTGGTACTAGTCAAGTACTGGTTGGTACCAGTAGCACAAGAACAGTTCTTCCTGATGAATACATACCCTCTTCTATTACCCTCTACAGTGATGTCA